AGGTAAGTAAAAAACAATATGCCCTTTTTGAAAATTTAACTTTGGGGGAGGGACTGTAGAATCTAAATATGGAGAAGAAAACTATACTGTTATGAATATGTGTTCAACACTACAGGATTCCTGGAAGTGTGATTCTTAAAAAAAACAAAAAAAACAGCTTGTTTTCAATGCCCCAGATTCAAATCGTGACATGTACTGATGATTTTCGGGTTACAGAAATCTATTACTTGAAATTTTACGTACAGCTTTTTTGTGCCGATGCTGCACAGATAGTTTGGAACTCTTCAGGAAGTGTTGCAAGACTGACAGAAAATCTGTATACAGTACATGCACAGCACTTGGTGGCCTTTTTCTGTGAGCCTATATGATCAGCTACCTCCTCTGAGCTGTCATTACTCCCAGCGATTTCGATTTCATAATGCCAGCTCTTGCAGATGACCACCGTAGCTCCAGCAGGGAAGCTATCTGATGATCTGACATGCTGAAAACATAGCATACAAGACCAGTGTCACATTGAATGTGAATGAGCTCTGATGTAATACCATTCTAGTAGCACTATTTGTTTATGGAGAGTGCATGACTGTATGCTCTGTTTTACTTTATATCTCCAGTTCACTTGCATGTACAACGTACATTATTTCTGCACGTCTGTCCCCGTATGACAAAGTCAGTTAAAAAGAATGAGAATGATCAAACTTGCAGCAGCTTGTCAGTTAAATACGGAACCATTTGGTTACTTCTATATAACGTAAATGTATTATTTTTAGTATATAATAATACTATAATATACCCCCACACACTGTATATAATATAACATTATGAGATTTCATCCAGTCATAGCACATTGTTCTTTTAGTGATGAACCAAACGGTGTAAATCAGGCCATTTAGATCTATAGTAACTCAGTCAATCTTTTGTGTGTAGTTAAAGTGCAAACGGTGTGTGCATACACATATTCAGCTGCTGCTTCACCTGTGATGACAAAATAAGGGCCACTGCATGCCCCACTCTAGTTACTACACGTTTGTGGGGAACACTGTATATTTTGTCCAGACCTCTTCACCTGCTGAATATTAGGAACGAGTTTTTTGTCCTTCCATGATGAAGGTAATGAGAAAAAAGATAACAGAATGTCCCTAAATGTCTCAATACTATTTGTTCATAACCGTGACATTTCTGTGACAGTTGTCATGATGAACTGGATCATACTCCCAGCTACCAGCCCCTATTTAGAATACCATCCTCAGAGTCTTCATACACTGAGCTGTGCCTGAGGGCATGTGTGTTGTGTGCCATCGCTGGGAAGATAGCTGTCAATTATTATTTCTTTGAACAGATTCCTGCTTAATTAGATGTGTTCCAACTGGGCATGTAATAGCATTCAATAAATTATTGTCAGGGTAGGATTCCTGTAAAGATGGTTAGTTTTTTTAATTTAAACTATATGCAGTGTAATCAATGTGAAGGAGTGACAGTAAGAATTGTAGCAGGTGTCTCTTAAACAAGCTGCTTTGTCTCAGTTGAAACAGCTTGCTCAACGTACTGCTCCCTTCTCGGTGGCAAGACTACTAATATCTCTTCTCTGATGGCTGCTCTGCATAGGCATATACACAAGAAAAAGTGGCCAATAGAGGGAAAAAGAGGAGGAGCAGTAAAAAAATATATATATTTATATAGATATAGTGATATAGATGTAAAAAACTGATAACATTTGTCTCTTGTAATACCTTTTTTATTGGACTAACAAAAGTTTTTAATGACAAGCTTTCGGGAGAACTTCCCTTTCTCAAGTCTGAAACATTGATCCATGCATAAAATCAATATGACTGTCCATAACTACCAAACATCTTTTATTCCCATCAATCGACTTTTGTTTTGGTGCCACTGCTGGAACCCTGAATATCAAATCAAACAAATATGTCATGGCGCTAGTTGTTTGTGGAGTAATGCTTCCGAGTATTGGTTCAAAAATACATTTTGTTATACCTATTTCATTATACATATGGTTAGCAAACCTTTTTTTTTTTTTTAAATTAGGATATTGTAAACAAAGTTCAGGTGGTAATAATGAAATGTTCAGAAATGTTAAGGGTATGGACATATCAAGACTTCATCATCTGCTAAACTTAAAAAAAACCAGCAATGGTAGAAGCAGGGTCCCTCCCTTGACCAATGCATATCATGTCTTCTGAAAACAGAGGCTGTCTACCATGTCGATATGAAATCAGAACATATGGGGGAGTCATGATAAACACTCCTTTATAATTAATAATGCTATGTGTGATCTGCTAGATAAAGAAAATATTTTTGGATAATAGTTTAACTGGTCACACATCTGTCCATTTGCTCAACATTTTGTTGTATACAGCAGACAAAAAATAGAAGGGAAACAATGTTTTACCATAGTGAAATGAATGAAAGCTTTTCGAGTCAGTCTTTAAATTAGAACAGTCTATGACTATGTTATATCAGTCTATACCGAAGACCTGTAAATTGATTATTTAGCAATATGTTTCACAGCTACCAATTTATTTGTCTGTTCCTCTCTCTCCTATCATCTTCTTACTTTTCTTTATTTATTTGTTCCACTGTTCTTTTTATATCTAATTGCTATGGAGACATTCTCTTCACTTTTAAGGAATATCTACATAATTATTGAAATAATTTCATGCAGTTGGCTCAAGCAAATAATTTAACATCTATACTCCTTAGGTCCCTTTTAATTAAGTAATCATGTAGGGACTGAAAGTCCTAAGTGTGCTTTGCACTGTGCAAGTGTGTCTAATGATGTGCATGCCCTGTACGCAATGGCACTCGGGATCTAGAAGGACAGGAGAAAACAAGTGGAGATGGTGCGCAGGACCCCCAATTACAAACAGTCCTTACAAATTTGGGCCTCTTTGGAGGCATGGATAACTTAGTTACAATGTGTGAGCTGTTTATCAAGTGATATGGAGAATTAAATGTATATTATGGAGATTAATTATATATATATATATATATATATATATATATATATGTATGTTGGTATGTACTTTACAAGTAACGACAAGCCTCCATAGTAAGCCAGTAACCAACCTCATGCTGATGAGTTGCATTAACAATGAAACAGCTGTCCATGAGTGGTTCACTGGCTTTGCTCCTCTTCCTGAGTTGTGTTTCAAAGCTGTTGTATACAGCAAATACACACTCCGAGGAATCCATGTATAAAGTGGAATTGTGAGGCAAAAATGTGGTTCTTTGTTGAGCTCATTTGCATAGACCTACCCAGAATCCCTTGTAGTAGTGAGAGCACTGTTAAAGTGAGATTTCTGTGGGAAAAGCAAGTTTCAGGGCTTGACTGGTGTGTGTACTTGTATTTAGCAATGTATTAACTATATATATATATATATTTTATATAGAGAAAAGAAAGTACACCCTCTTTGAATTCTGTTGTTTTACATATCAGGACATAATAGCAATCATCTGTTCCTTAGAAGGTCTTAAACTTAAATAAAATCTTAGATGAACAACAACACATGACATATTACACCGTGTTTGTGTAAAAAATAAAGCCAAAATGCAGACGCCATTCTAAGTACACCCTTACTGCTTCCATAGGAATTAAGAGGCAAATTAGCAGACAGGGACTGCTAATAAAATTGCGTTGATTAATTGATTATCAGCAAGTGTGACCATCTCTATAAAAGCCAAAGTTTTAGCAGTTTGCTGGTCTGGAGCATTCAGTTGTGTTTTAATACAATGCCAAGGAGGAAAGACATCAGCAATAATCTTAGAGAAGCAATTGTTGCTGCCCATCAAACTGGGAAGAGTTATAAGGCCATTTCCAAACAATTTAAAGCCCATCATTCAACGAAAAAGATTATTCAAAAGTGGAAAACTTCAAGACAGCTGCCAATCTTCCCAGGAGTGGACGTCCCAGCAAATTCAACCCAAGGTCAGACCGTGCAATGCTCAGAGAAATTGCAAAAAAATGCAATATAATGAGTTACAACTCACACTCTACATACCTCAATTAGCATATTAAATGTTAAAGTTCATGACTATACAATTAGAAAAAGACTGATTAAGTATGGCTTGTTTGGAAGGATTGTCAAGAGAAAGCATCTTTTCTCTAAAAAGAACATGGCAGCATGGCTAAAGTTTGCAAAGTTGCATCTAAACAAACCACAAGACTTCCTTTGGACATACAAGACCAAAGTGGAGGTTTGTCCATAATGCGCAGCACCATGTTTGGCGACAACCAAAAACAGCATACCAGCACAAACACGTCATAACAACTGTCAAGCATGGTGGTGGAGGGGTGATGATTTGGGTTTGTTATGCAGCCACAGTGTCTGGGAAACTTGCAGTTAATGAGTCCACCTCTGTATGCCAAAGTATTCTAGAGTCAAATGTGAGGCCATCTGTCCGACAGCTAGAAAAAAAAAGGAAGAATCAAGGTGTTGAAATGGCCCAGTCAAAGTCCAGACCTCAACCCGATTGAAATGCTATGGCGGAACCCTAAGAGAGCTGTACATAAACAAATTACAGTAAACCTCAATGAACTAAAGCAACGCTGTCAAGAAAGGTGGGCCAAAATTCCTCTACAACAATGAAGAGATTGATAAAGTCATATAGAAAATGATTACTTAATTTTAGAAAATGATTGTAAAATGATGTTGAATATGATTACTACAAGTTATTGCTGCTAAAGGTGGTTCTACAAGCTATTGAACTATAAGGTGTACTTTTTCACACATCGTTCCTCCATTTTGGCTTAATTTTTGTGTCCCATGAGTAAACCCTCATTATTTTTTGCCTCAATTAGGTGTTTATTAAAAAACAAAAAAAAATCGGTGAGCTTTGAAGTTGCTGTTTAGTGGAGAAAGTGAGTGTGCTGGTTCTTGTGTATTGTTTAAATTGGCCCCAGCAGCACCCCATGTATGCATGTTCAGGTGAGTGAAGCCTCTAGTTTCATATATATATATTTGGGAGTCTAGGCCAACTTCTTGGTTTTGCACCCCTCACAAGTGCCTCATTCAAGGGCCCTACTTAGCCTTGTACTGCAGAGTGCCCAAAACGAAAACGTTTCCCCCAAGTGGGTTAATCTCATAAGAGCAGACATTATTCTGTGAGAGTAGGACCTGCCAAAGATGTGGTACATTGACATTGTGGCAGGCTTATGCAATGTATGATCATATAATGTAACTAAACCCCCATTATTTTTGCTTAGGTTGTGTTTTTTTTAAAAACTAATACAATCTGTAAGCTTCAAAGTTGCTGTTTAGTGGAACAGTGAGTGCACTGGATCTTGTGTAAAACTCACAGAATGTAATTATTATTATTTTTTTAAATTCCCCTTGCCTAAGTGTATTTAAAGAAACAAACTGCAGGGGTGAGGAGGTGGGGTGAGGAGGTGGGGGGGTTAAGTTACAGTATATTGTCATAGGTTGCATAAGCCTGCCACAACGCCAATGTACCCCATTTTAGCAGGTCCCATCCAAGCAAACTAATAACTGCTCTTATGAGATTAATCCACTAACTTGGGAAATCCTTCCACCTGGGGCTCTCTGCATATATGAATAATAACACACACAAGGACAAATGACTCAGGAGAAAACTTTCAGATTGGAGTTTGCTTTTCAAAAATCATCGTTTTATCACAATAGATTGCATCACTTTTAATATTTACATTTAGACGCACATGTGTATTCTATAATAGAACCAGGTTTCAGAGTGCAATCATCTTTCACTTTGATGTTTCTAAAAACAGCAGTTTCCAAGATATATATAGATATAAAAAGTAGTCAGAGCAGATGCAATAATTTTAACAGCAAGGCAAATCTACATTTCAAACCAACGTTTACATAACATATATTATATTAATATAAAGACAGCAAAAATACTGAAACAGATCAAGAGGTGTCATATTGCATTATAAACTTAGAAATCCTTTGGAAACTCACCCTTACACACATCAGCACCACCCACCCCCATACGCAAATCATCGCCCCTTCCAGTACCAGTGAGAAGCAAAAGTGATTTCATTGTGCACCCTCATATGGCAATGGAAGTGTTTAAAATACCTTCTTTGAAATTAAAAGAATATGAGGTAAATAGTGTGTACACGTGTACAATCACAAATACTCTATAAATACTTTAGTAACTTTATTCCCAGTGTGACTGCCTTTTCACATTTTTAAGGGAGCAATTGAAAATACCCCAAATTCTAGTTTTCTATCTGTGGACTAAAACTCTGCTGAACGGCTGAGAATGATAAGAGTTTCACCTTCAAGTGCAACTACTCTGCCTTTAGTTACATAAAACTGCAGCAAAATAATGTCGTATGACATGAGATTAGGTTAAGGTAATCATAAATTGCACTTTTTAATCATTTTTTTTTTTTATATGTTACATTACATTTACATTATTAACGTGCCCTATTACATGTTTAAAATTGGCTTTAATTATAAACTTTAATCTGTCATTGACATGAGGTCACTGAAGAATGGGATGTTTTAACATCCACACATGACCACTAGGACCTTAAGGCCTCAATTTTGTATTTTTGGCTGAGCTCTTCAAAATATATAAATACAAAAAAAAATAAAAAAATAACAGTGTATGAAACATAGTATTGATATATGTTTCATACACTGTTATTTTTTTTTTGTATTCTATTATTTTTGGAAAACAGCTTACCCAAAAATAGTAAATTATTTGAAAAGGCTTATCCAAAAATATTAAATTAATTGTATTAGCTTGCTTTCTGGGCAGAACGTGGCAGTGTGCCTTTGGTAGTGATGCAAGTACCTATTCCTTAGAACCACAAAATAAAACTGTTATCCCTTAAGGTGGTTGCAGAATACACTTGCACATGTTTTAATCACAAGATTGTACTGGAAAACATTTCACAGATAATACTAGCCATTGCAAAATATGTGGCCATTAAAATTATGTATTATAGATTGCCAATCCCCCCAAAACGTACCAGTAAATTTGTTATTTTTTTCCCCTTCTCATGCATGTTAAATATATAGTCTAGTGTTCTGGGCTTATAATACCTATATACAGTACATACATGTTAATATTATCATATTACTCGGCATGTTTTATTTCCCAGATTAAATATAACAGCATAACATGTTTAACCTCTTCACTACCAAGCAGATTGTGCTTAAAAATATTAGCATGACATTTATTTGAAAAATTGGATGCATAGGCTGCGCATAAATATATGATAAACAAGCATTTTTGTTTTGTATAGATTGCTGTTCAGGCAAACATAAAATTAATACTGTATGCATATTTACACACATTTTATTTTCCAAATTTCCATTCATTATTTATCGAATTTTTCAGTGAACGAAAAAACTTTTGATAATATAGAGTATCCCTTATCTTGTGACAATTCATAAAGGGTCTGATATATTAGTGAAAGAGCAAAAACACTATTTTTCATCACATACAGTAGAGGGTGACAAAAATAGATATATAAAAATGGTCACATACCCTGTTTGTAGGTATTTGTAAGGATCCCTGTGCAATGAGTAGCTGTACAGTTTACTAAAACTGGCAGCAGAGTATAAGACGATTGTGTGCAGTTGAGTATAATGGCTACATATAGTAAGTACATTGAAATCACATATTTTTTTAAATATATGTATTTAAAAAATTTATAGCAATCAGCATCTATCTCTGTAATGCTAATAGAGTCCATATGCATTCCATCCTTACCGTCTAATGGTTTTATCTTTGAAATGTTGGCAATTTAGAAGAGGAGGAAAGGGCCATTTATAGCTCATTGGTAACATTAAATGGGTAGAATGGGTTATCAATTCCTGCAGTATAATTGACGGTAAGTGAGGCTTTATGGGACAAATTTTGCTTTGTGTTACAAATGAAAGTAAAAGCCTGTATGCACATTTATGGTAGTGAAAGGGTTAATTTTTCATTCAATTTGATGAATAAAACAAGCGCAGCAATAAAACAATAAAAAAACAAAAAACGGAACATATATAAGAAGAATCAGAAAAAAACCCCCTCCAAATATACAACAAAAGCGAATCTTAAATAGACCCTTCTTATTTGCTAACAGGCAGACCTCCCCTATAGATAAGTGATGGAAAAGATTTCAAATTCAAAATGACTTTGAAATAATTACGTTAACAATAATGCAATACTATAAAAAATGTTGGAAACCCACTAAATTACTAGGGGTCCCGATTCCAAAGGTGCTGTTTTTTTTCCAAGACACTTGTACAGTTTGACTGATCATGTCATTCCATACCACATAGTAAAGTGCATTTTTAAGTAAAACTAGGGTTTCAAAGTTCTTTAAACCTTTACACCTCTCAATTGTCTACAAAATGCAAACATATGAAAAAAAAAAAAAACCTTCTACCTCATTAGGAATTCTTACTGATGATAATACATAATTATTGTACATTGCAGTATCCAAACTACATGGGATTATTCCCTAAACCATGAATTGTGGTCAGTTGACACTTATTATTTGAGTAAATTTTGCAACGTGATTGTCAACTTGCTCTGATAATAAAACCCCATACAGTTACCTATTAAAACATTGAAGGAACAAACAACATCCGCATCATGCCGCTTTGGCGTACAATTCACATAATGACTAGATGAACGCTGTTGTCATTGTCAGCTGTCATTTTTGGGTTTAGTTTAGGAAGCTGAATAGGATTGTGGAAAAGCTTCCTACACTTTTTGTCAATTCCTGGTAATTGATAGGCACAATTGATAATTGATAGGGAGTAATCGATAGATAATTGGTAATTGATAGGGAGAAAATGATACGATTTTCACAATATATTCTACTACAAGCCCGTATGATATAGTACATACTATTCTGAAGTTATCGGAAGAATTAGAAAGCAAGAGAGATCTAGTAACTTCTATCTTTGCAATATTTCTGCAAAAGGAGATTTTTTTTTTTTTAAATAAAAGATTGCAGCTTTATCTTTGTTTTATATGATAGACATGCATGCATTATTTTAAATAAATGTCCTGTTTTATGTTAGTTTGGGGAAAGTTCTCAAAAGTGAAAAAAGGTCAGTTAAATATGAGCATGGCCTGGAGAGGTTTTCACTATGAACCGGAATTGCGTCACCGCAGCCGGGCATTGACTGAGGTAAGGGAGCAAGCCCTTGCTAAATGGTTTGATCTGTTACCAGGGAACCAGGCCAGGGTAAGGGATTTTTTTTTTCGCCCTAAACTGAATTAAAGCATGGAATATCCACGAAGGTTTTCACATGAGCCTGAAGGTCTAGAGACTAGGGATACCCTTACCACAGACCTCCGGTAACCATAGAGAGGTGGATTTAATTGTTTATATCCCTATTACTTATCTCTCTGTATATACCCTTCATTTTATCTATTTTTTTCTGTGTTTTTTTTCTCACCATTTAGCATTTCTCTCACTATTCCTTTTACGTTTATTTTTTGCTTCTGGAAGATCACACTAGGCTCTGTCATAACCAGTGCTGTATATACTTCCATGAGGGCTTAAACACATAAAGGAAGAGATTGCTACCTCTTCAGTTAGTTCTCGTACTGCCAATCCATACCCGTTTGGAACTAGTGTGGTATGCTTTACTATTGACTATCTATTATTGAGCATCTCACTCAGGGCTGTTCCCCCTCCTATCAGACTCAACTGTTTAATTCGTCCTAGTACTTTTTAGAGTTGCTAATTAAGTTCTTTTGTTATTTATTATTATTTTCTCCTTTAGGATCTTATTGGAGTGGATTGGAAATTTAACCTTGTGGTAAACTTTCTATTCAAGTGACACCTTTGATTCTCTACTATTTATTGTATTCCCTAGGGTTATCCCCTACTTTTCCAGTCCAGGTAACCTTTTTTTGTGGGTTAGGTACAGGACGAGGGTGTTACACTAAACCTCTATCATTGACTGCTCCCCTTCTTTTCAACCAGGCCAGGGTTCTCTTGGCTTTATAATCACTACAGCAGGCTGTAAAATGTATGATGCTTGATGTAATCTATTAAGGTGGGGATTAGGATATGGGTAGGCTCGGGGATTGCTTATGGTTAGTTGGTCTTTAACATCATGGGTCTTAGTGTTAGTGTTAGGAGGTATTTAGGGTTGGTGACTTTACGTTAAAGGGGTATAAAGATAGGAGTAAATGCCTTCAAGATATTGTTAGTTGTAAATCCCATAATTCACATCTAGGCCAACCCC